ATATATATTATAATAGGAAATCGCTTGAGCAATGTAAAAGAAATATTTTGAGGTAAAAATGAACTAGTTTAAGTAATATTAAACGGTGATGAATTTGGCGAAGAAGTCGCTCTGCATTGGAAATCATATAAACATGGCCGCCGGGTACTCTAACCCTAATTTGATGGAACAGCTGAATTTAAAATGCTCATTACTGGGAAAATAGCCCCTCCAGAGGCCAAAAAAAACTCACCTGAGATGCCTTGGAGAATTACATAGTGATTTTAACAGAAATTATAGAAAAATAAAGGAAATACAATTGTTTTATTTGAAGATATTTAGAGCTTGTTATGGAGACGTCGTTCTCTTATGCTGGCTGGAGCAGCTCTCTCAAAGTGCAATCTATGGGATATTTAAGTGCATATGATATATTTCAGCTATATTAAACTAGTTCATTTACTATAGCATTATTTGTTTTAAGTTTGTTCAGCCGTTCCTTTTTTCTTAAGTTTTTCAGCAATTATAAATGCATAGTTTCTCCAATACAACTCATACATGAGCACAATGATTGTGTTTTTCCTCTTAATATATTGTATAAAATATGTACAGGAAAAACACAGGGAATATTTTTTCCAAATTTGAGTGGTAACTCTGAATTATAATATTTGTTTAATGAGCAAAATTTAAAATTGAAGATCCAACATGAAGTTTGTTAATTATATTCACTGTTTTTATTTCTTTTCCTTAAAATTCATTTTAAAATATGTGCTTTTCTCACATCAATTGAAGATAGATTAACCTTACAATGGGTGATAAGCATTCTTTATTCTTAAGCTGTTTTTTTTCATGACTTCATAATTTTTATTTCTCACCCTTCAATTTCCCAAAGAATCCATGCCTGTTATTTTGTTCATTGGAAACACAATAAAATTTGTAGCTTAAAATGATTTCAAAACTTAACGAAATAAAAAGTTTTGAATAATCAGACAAGAAAATGTAAAATTTATCATTTACAAAATGGCACTGATGATTTAATTAAATGTAAAAATCACGTTCTTGCAATCTTGATTTGATGCAGATGATTTTGTATCCTATAATTTTTTAGCTATGGTCACTGCCAAGTATATATTTATATACCGTAATTTAGAGTTGATACGGCATGTCATTTATGATTTAAAACATTAAAGTTTGGTAATTGAAGCCTGTTTAATAGGGGGCTATCCGATGGTGGTTTTTTTTTAACTACTTCAACTTGATAATTCTATTTTGTTAAATTGATTCTCCAAAATTTCATAATCACTGTTATTTTTTTGATCTTTTGCAAAGATCTATTTTTTAAATTAATGTTGAATAATAATTTGAAGAATTAACAATGCGCATGAAAAACAGTTTGCAAGAATGTAACAAATGCTTTAAACAAAGAAGTCGTTGACGAATTCCTTTCTCGCAAATAGTCTCTTACGAGGATCAAAGAAATACGAGTCCTCCTCATCCTTTCTTTCGCTGCAAATGCGAAGAAAAAAAGTTAAAGAAAATATGCAAGTCAATGAGAGGGGGGAAATGCGTAAATGATCTATCTTGAAGGTCAAGTTTATCACCACTTTCAGCTGAAGGACTACTTTATTATTTTTACTCTCGGAAATATACAATCCGGAAATTTAGAGATGTCCGAGTAAAATTATGCAACATGTATGAACATGTGAATAAAAGAGGAATGCATGAACTTCTTTATTTATTCTATATTTAACGTTTATTTTAACAAATTTTAGCTGTTTAATCATTTCACCTATTAATAACTGTGATATAATTTAATTACAATAGAAATAATGTGTTAGCGATCACTTTTTTCTTTAATTTTTTTCCAAACGGCATTATTTGTTTATTTTCTATATCTATTTTTTTAAAAATAATTTTAAAAGGCTTTTAGCTGTTTCTCATTTGATAGGTTAAAATTTTAGAAATTTTAAATTACTAAAAAAACAGCCTGCACTTGTAATGGCTTTGCATAGTACACTTTTGCTCAAAACAAAATTTATTTTATTACTGATATTTTTTTAATTATGTAGAGATTTTTATCTTTTTAATCATTTGATTTAATATTATTTAGGTATTTCAAATCAAATTACGAAAAAACAATGTGGTTGTTTTATACTGTGCAATTTTGTGCCCAGTAAGATTCTTTTTATAAATTTATGGTATTCTGTTAGCTTATTTTAATTATATTTAGGTTCACTTGTTTTATATAAAATTCAAGTATTTTAAATTGGTATTTATTAACATAATGCGACTGTGTTGCATTTGAATTGTGCGCAATTGTACACAGTACTATTTTACATACATTTGAAAAGTTATGATGAAAATTATCAGAATAAATAATTTTTGATTTTTAGTAAGATCGCATATATTATTTTATTGTATATTTAATAATAACTTTAATGGTTGTTAAATGTTTAATCATTTATTTTGTACATAACTTGTTATTAGAAACAGATGCATTAACTTCATGATCAATCACTCAATAAAATTTTGATGCCTTTCTGGGGAAATCCTTTTCCTTTTTAGTCAAATTTTATGTGTGCGGCATATATCCCAAGGCGGTGTGTGTCCGCAAAACTACGGTGTTTGTTTTTATGCGTGTTTTTAGATTATCACAATCCTCCACTTAAAACAAAGTCATTCAACTGTTTGAAACTCTGTTTATTAATGCCTTACGTCTTTTTGCTTTTTCTTTGGATTTAATGAATTGTACTCTTTTTTTTACAATAGCCTTTCTGTGATAATCATGATGATTCTGAAACACCTGCAATTATTTTGTGCTCAACTTGTGGTAATTTATGTGCAGAATGTGATAGATATTTACATTTGAATCGAAAAACTCGAAACCATCAGAGACAGGTATGTTATAAGATCACTGTCATTGTTTTACATTTATTACAAGCTAAGCCTTATTTATTATTGATATTGGTATATTTTTACTTGTAAATGACAATACTGCTTTTTTATAAAATGAAATGTAAACAAACTCTACTCTTATCAAATTTTTATCATATTGGTGTTAAGTATTATTGTTCTATTTTTTTATAGCAATATGTTGGTGCCCTATTTTTTTAAGGGGAAATCTTTGAAATTTAATTATTATTTTCTTGTTTCTGTATTAGAAGTTAATAATTGCCTTATTATATTAATTTTATTTATTTTAGTATGAAGATTTTCAAATTTATAATTTAATTTGTTCGTGTGCTAGTGAATGATGCTAAGTATTACCCGTGATTCGAATAGTGATAAAATAAATATCTGCTTTGGGCTGAATTTCAGATTTTACACCTTATGCAAAACATGTGTGCTCCTTCAAATGAAGAGGCTTTACATTGTGGAAATTGCAAGGATGATGAAGCAGTTGTTTTCTCATATTGATTTTAAAAAAATTAAAAAATGCTGCAATTTAAAGTTAGAGCTATTATACAAGAAATATAATTAATATTGAGAGGCTCAAACTTTTATCTGCTCTCCTGACTAAACTATTTTTTCCATATTATGATTAACCCCTTATATTTTGAGGAATCTAATACGGTTTAATGCTAATTTGAGAGTTGTGATGGGTCAGGGAATAGAGCGTTTGCCTTCCAATGTGGTGAACCGTGTTCGTATCCCAGTGATGACTTGCACCGACCATAGTGCTGAGGTAAAATGTCCTCCGTGGTGAATGTATCACGACTTAGAATCCCCTGCCATCAGGCTAACCGTGTTTTCATGGTTTTCCTTTCCACGAAGGCAAATTTCCCCTAATACTTGATCCAGAAGTTATCTTGTCTTCTAGATTGGGTTCAAAATTACGAGGCTACGGAGTTTAATATTAGTAGTCATAAACCCAAAATTGGGTAGGCCGTCCAACGACGGTTATGAAATTAAAATAAAATTTATTGATTATCAACTCTAACTGCATCACTCTCACAGGAATTCTTCCCCATAAATTAAAAAGTTGTCATCATTGTGCTACTTAGAAATTTAATGTCCCCTAAAGGTCTGTTAGACTAATTGTTACAAACTTGAGAAAAACACTGAAGAGTATTTTTTATTCTAAGAATTGCATGTCTTTTTCTTTTAAGCGAAAACCAGTATCCCTGCCTTCTCAATGGCAAGGCCTAATGTTTGAAAGAAAAAAGCTTTTATTTATGGCCTCTCAAGTTCTGAAATTTAGGAAACAAGTTGTTAATATTTAATAGTATTTGTTGTAATTAATTTTGAATTTTTTTAAGTTTTTCTATTTCATATCATTCATTTCAATTTGACTTCCTAATAGTTAGGTTATTTGACAACTTTACGGTGACAGCTCAAAGATCTGAAATTTATAATTGTGTTTTTAACTAAGTTGTGAATCTTTAATAGTTTTTCTTTTTAGAAACATAATTGTTTTGTTTTTCTTTTGCATGTCAGTTGTTTCAATTTAAAGTTTTTTTATTTCATTAACTTACTGACTAAAATTGGAATTAGTCTGAAATATTTTAATAATTGATTTAAATTCTTAAGATTTAACACTAGTGCTCATTTCAAATGGGTTTAACTTAGTATCCAGCAAAACGAGCATGGTTTGCAAAGCTATCTTTGGGGTTTGCGAGCATCAGCATGTAAGGGGCAGAGCTAACTAGTACTCAATTTATATGGGGAGAAAAAGCTTTGTTGCACATCACATTGAGTCATGATATTACGTTTTTAATTTAGGAAAGTGGAGTTATAAAGTAACTTCAAATTTGACTTTCAGTTAACATAAGTACCCCGTGGCAGAATTGTGGCAATCCGACGACATTGTCGCAGAATGTTTCAGAGTTCTTTTAGAAAGATTTTTCCTTTGGGAAGTAAAAAATTTTGGTTTTCTTTTCTGCAGAAATTTTTTTCCAATTTTTCATGTAATTAATACCTCATAGCTTTTAAAATACTATATTTTAAGTACGATATTATTTATAACTGAATTTCGAAATGAAAACACCAATTTTGCGAAGAGTTTGATTCAGGTGGTATCGCCGTCAATCTTTTTTCTGGTAGTTACTGCTACGGATTTCACAATTTTTTTATTACTTTTAAGTGATGATGATTTAAAAAATGCAAAAATAGAAATAATCAGTGTGTTCAATTTTTTTTTTTTTTTTGAAGTTGATGATTCTGTTACTTGAAAACTAGTAACATGTATATTTGTTAATTTTAAATGTATCTTGCAGAAACATATTAGTATTAAAGAGGCATGTCATGTAGAAAGTCCAAACAAATTCTGTCACAGGGTTTAAGTATATGTAATTAATTGTATGTTTAGGTATTCAAAGAGGAGGAAGAGGCCATCAAGGTGGATCTGCATGAGGGATGCGGAAGAACAAAATTATTTTGGGTCATGTGCTTAGCTGACTCCCGAACACTGAAGGCTATGGTGGAGTTCAGAGAAGGAAACAGAGGTATTTCTTCATTTATAATCTAACTCAAATTACTTTTTAAAGGCATCTATCTATAAAGAGAAAATGCAGTTTCATTTAGAATCCAATTTTTTTTTAAATAATTTCTTTTGCTCTCCATTTAAAACTTTCTGAATAATATATGGATCACATACATTAATTTCGGGAACGTTTGAAAAGCTGATTCATAAACAATGTACAGAGTGTGCAATAACAACAAAAACATTTAAAATTCAATTTCTCAGGAACTGTTCGGTTTATTTTGTACTTTGTCATGTAAAACTAGATTTTTTAAAATGGTGCAAAAATTTATATACCTTTTGATTCAATTATTTTTTTACTTTTATTCAATAAAACAATGATAAAAAATTACATTTTGCTTGGGATTAACTTTCAATAAGCAAGTTTTATAATTGTATTCAAAATTGTTTATACTTCGAGGGTCAAAATCCAAATTTTCCCCCAAAAAAATGTATGTTAAGATAAAATACGTTTTTGTGTCTGATTTTGTAACTTCAAGTATTGTCTGCCTTAATTAATTAACATATTTGAGGTCATTCATTTAAATCATTATGATTGGGTCCTAAGAACGAGAAGATTCGATCATTAGATTTATAAAAAAAAATTATAAAATTATCTGTACTGTGTATCATTATTAACTCAATGGAGGGGTTTGTCCAGACATTTTGTAAAAGATCCGTTTTTGTAAAATTTTGAAAAAATTATTCGTAATTTGCGAATACAAAATAAACGTTATGTCCCATTCTTTCAACCAGGGTCCTGTTTTTGTGAATTTGTGCAAATAGGGTCTTGTTACTGCAAACACGGCGTTTTTAAATTGTAAAGACACACAAGATTATGCTCAACACTGTAAAATTATAATTTTAAAAAAATAGATTTTAAAAAATAAACAACAATTGCTGCTACTAAATTAGAGATACAACATACAAATAATTTGGTATTTAACCTATACTGCTGAATGCAGAATATTCATTTCGGAAGAATAAAGGAAGAAGCGTCTTCCGAAGACAAAACTTAGTTCGCTTGCATCTGTTTTTCTTTCCCCCCTTCCTGGGAAGGGTTTATTCGATTAACAAAACAATAACAAAGATAAACAAGTTTGTGAAGAGTCCGATTAAACGAAAAATTATTTTGTGAAGGGTCCGTCAACGAACAAAAATTTCTTTTAAAGAGACCACTGCAATGTATTAATTAATTTAAAAAATTAGCTATACTTTCTTTTTAATTTCTTCCTATTTCTGATTTAACATTTTATTTTATTTATAACCTTTATTTCATGATTTTTCTTTCTTGTTTTGCCCTAAGACATTCATGTAATATGTCATTTTGGAATCAAGAAAGCTTGTAGATTTTTAATGTTTTGCAAAATAAAACTTTTTTTAATTTATCATTTTTTTTAAAAAAAATTGACTTCAATGAGTATATCTTTAATGTTAAAAAGATCCTATAGAGTTCGTCTTCTTAAAATAAACTACAGTAAAAAAGGATCAAGAAAAATTTTTATGGAATTTACTTTCGACAAAAAATTGATTGATCATAAATATTTATAGCATTTTTTTCAAAACTTGGAAAATAACCTTATCTTAAAAATTGGCAGTAAAAAGTGTTTTGGAGAAAGGCTTACATTAAATAATTCTAGCATCTTTATTTAACAATTATTTCTAGTAAAAACTTTAGTTTCATTGGGGCTCAATTTATGCTATATATTAAACGTAAACAATATTTTCTGAATGCCTAAGACAAAAATATGCCCCTGAAGTAAGTTAAAATTTTCTTTAAAAAGCTTTGTAGTTCATGAAAAATATCAGAGTGTTCTTTCCTTTTTGAAGTGAAACTTCTTATGCGACTTCCAACAAGGTTGCATTAAACGTTTAATGCTACATTTTTATTGGCCGGGAAATCACGTGGTAGGATCCAGTTTTCCCTCATTCATTTCCATATTGTTTTGGTTCTCACTAGCATAAAAATAATAAAAGTCATAAAAGTATTGTTTTTCTATAAATATTTTAGTTTGATTTGATACACATATAATTTGATAGGGTAGTATTTTACTGGTGAAGTACGTTACTGGTGAAGAAATTGATTATTGTGAGCGGCCTGTNTTTATGCGGATGGTATTGTATTTATGCGGATAGTATTCTATTGCATTTTCAGCAATTATTGATATGGATTTTCACGTGGTTTTTAAATGTCCTGATATATTTCAAACAATACGGGAAATTCAAATGGTGCATCTGAGTATTTACTTTTTGAGACAATGATTCTATTGATTTTTTGACAGTTATTGCTATTGTTTTCGCCGTAGTTTTTAAATCCTATATTTTTTTACTGTTTTATTTATTACAACATCCTAATCTCGAAGCGAAACATGCATTTGAGTAATCACTATTTTAGGAGTTTGATTTCGTCGTCGATCTTTTTTTCTGGCAATTAGTACTACGGATTTCACAATTTTTAATGATTTTTTTATTGTGATGATTATTTACAAATGCAAAGAAGGAAATAATTAGCATGTTTTCCCTCCAACAAAATACGAGAATATCACCCATAATATTTGAGTAAAAAATTATATGTACAATTAAAATAAAATATTTATGTATAGTTTTTTTTTTTGTAAGCACGGCATTTTTGTTATTTTAAATTAGTAACATGTAACATATACCATATGTGGTTGGGTGGCGCAGTTTTTTTGTCGTCGGCCTTCTGAGCCCAAGTCTGTGGGATCGAACCCCGGCCCAGACACCGTTTTTTTGGGATGCAGAAAATCCTCAGAGGCCATGTCGTATGATTATGCTGCATGTAAAAGATCCCTGGAGTGCTTTATTGGCTCTTGGCATTTCCGGCAAAATTGAATTCCTAATGCACTTTAGCATCCAAATAGAGTCTCAGTGCTGCCATCTAGTGTGGTAGAAACTAGACGTCCAAATTAACATGACCAACGGTATCTCACCCATTGTGGTGGTCCTGAAAGAGTGGATACCACCTCCGAAGACTGCACTAGGTCTGCTCATCAGCAAGACCGATTGTGCAGCTCATTGGAAATAAAAAAAATAGAAAAAACATGTAACATATATGTTTGTTATTATTAAAAGTATCTTGCAGAAAGATATTAGTGCAACAATGTTTTGTCACAGATAGCTCCAAAAAATTCTGCAACAGGGTTGATAATTATGTAATACACTTTAATTGCACACCATTTTAAAAAAAAAAATTTCTACATTTATTATCTATAACGAACAAAATTTTTTCAGGAGCATGCCAGCAATTCGTGTTCAAAAATGCTTTCTTGTGGTCACATGTGTGGAGGAATCAGCAATGAGATTTCCTGTCTTCCATGCCTGCATCGATGTGGAGATGTCTCCAGTCTAAAACAAGATGCCGATGACATGTGCATGATTTGCTTCACAGAAGCACTGGCCAATGCTCCTGCTATACAAGTTAGTTTTTGTCAGTTGTTCTAGTAAATTTTGGTGTGGAAGCAGAAGTTTCCCCTCATCCTTTTACATTAACCCCTTCCCTTATTATCCTGAGTATGTATATATTGCAAATATATACATACTCATATATATATACATTCCCGAGTAAACTTGGGCGTAGCCGAATTCGTCAATACATTTTGTTTTATTATGTTTTTACTTGGCCGGAAGCGAAATAAAGAATTATAATATTCTGCTGTGATTAAAACTTTACCAATATTTATTAATATCAATATTTATTTGGGATTTTCGCTATTTGTGGGACTGCAGATGTGTTCTGTACAACTGTATGTACGATGGTCGCTGACTTTACACAGTAAAAAATTGGCACGTTCACGAGCAAAAGTGAAAGTGATTTTTCAGATTATGAAGATGTGAACATATACAAAGACTAATGTTTAACTTTTTTCATTTGCCCAAGAATTTAGGATAGTAAACTGATGGTAAATTAAATATTTTTTTACGCATAAAAAATTTAAAATTTCAACTTAAAACTTGTGTATTATGCTTTATTTTAGTTCCTTGTATTTATTAATGAAATTTAAAAAAATACGTTGATTTTTTGGAATTATTTTTTTAAAAAAAATTGGTGCGGGAGGAAGTTAACAGTGTATGAAAAAAGATGTACATTATGAAAGAATTCTCAAGGAATTTGGATTTTTAAAAAAATTCTAAAAATGTAAATTTGAAACTTGGAAAAATATTCCAACAAACCTAATAAACTAAATTCTTAAAATTAAGATTAACAATAAGTTTCAGAATTCTAACATGTAATAGTATTATTTCTTGTAAGAATTGTGCTAAAGCATGTGTAAATTTTCTTGTTTTTGGAAAATTAATTTTTCTACAGAGCGCTCATTGTTTCTCGATTTCTTATTTCAAATGTTTTCTTTAATATAAACAATACTTGCTATTCGCTAAGCTGGTTATAATTATTTTTAAAATTTTGGTTCTTAATCACAAGTGGCTTCTTATAATGGCTATATGAGTGATGTAGATTTCTTTATTTAATGAACTCTATTACTAGTTTTTCTGTTTGTTTTTTTTTTTCAATTCCCTTTCAAATGCTTGTGTTCATAGTAAGATAAAATATCTTCACACATAATTCAAAAGTATCTGCAGGCTTATTGAATTTCGTTTCTAATAAAATGTGATTGGTGTATTTTCTATGAAGAAGTGATTTTCAAGGCATACTAAATAAAAAAAATTATATTTTCTGAAAACATTTCATTATAAATTGCAAAATTTATAGACCTGGAATCTTGTTGATATTTTCCTAGAAAAGTATGAGAATTTCATTTCCCTGTGATTGTCCTCTATAAATGTTTCCTGTGATTTGTTCTAAATTTTTTTTTATTTTTAGAATTTGGTTTTTTTTTCTGAATTTAGTTTTTTTCTGAAATTTGTGTATCAATCTAAAAAATACCATAAATAACTTTGTATGTTTATTTAGTGTTTTAAGTTCCTTAATGGGACCTTTATAATTTTTAAATTTTACTGTTTGTAAGTACAGTTGAACCCCACTTTAGTGAACTTTTGAGGGACCGAAATTTCCCTTCACTATATATCTTCTGCAAACAATTTGAATTAATGCAGAGTTCCCACGGTCCTTAAAAACTGCTTAATTTTTATTTTGGAAAATAAGGACCCTTAAAAGTGCTTAAAGTAATTTTTTAGCATCACTATAGTTGATAGGAACAATTTGCTAGTTCAACTTTTTTAAACAAAAATCGTTCTTTTATCATTTAGAATTAGACCAGGCATTGAGGATAGAGCATTTTAGAGAGACTAGAAAAAATGTGTGAGGGGGCTACAAGCAAGGGGAAGAAAGTATTTTCTTTTATTAACATTTTGATTCTTTCAGTATTTTGTCTAGAAGGGTACTCTATGAGGAGAGTGAAGCATTCTAAAAGAAAAGAATAGAGTGTGGACTAGGGGGATACTGCACATGCTTTGTAAAAAGAGTGGTACCTCTGTAGTGGTTCCAAACTCACCCCTTTTATTACACGACATTATTTGAATAACATGAAATACAAAAATGACTGAAAAAGAATACGTAGTACCGAAAATGTGTTAACTTTTATTTTTTATTACTCTTCGCCTTGCGTACAAAAAAAAATTTTTAATCTTTAGCTGATGTGCAATCCTCAACATCAGATATGGAAACACTTCCCGATTCTCCGATCATTTTTCCTGAATTTATGTTATTCCGATTTTTATGAATTTATGTTATTCTGGTTTTTAAACCTGTCTAACCAGCCATTCCAGCACATAAAAGTAGTCTCATCAAATTGCTTAGAAAATTCATCGGTTTTGACTTCCAAGCATTGATCCAGATACAGGAAGATAGCGGTTTCTTTGAGTGCTGAACCTATTCAATAAAGAAGCAAACAAGGAAAATTCATATTGCTACATTCCACCCTGTAGATGGTTTTAAAAATCGGTATATCTATTTATTTTGAGGTAGAAATTTCGAAATTATTACAAAAATGAAGAAAATAAATCAGTCTGAGGCATAGTTCAATCTGGAAGTTCATAATAACTTCCACTCTTTTTTTGGTTCACTATAATTGGTCCACAAAAAATAACTTTATATGTGTGTGGCAAGGAACAGGAGCGACATTTCTTTCACTATAAACCGTGTTCATTATAGCGGGGTTTGACTGTATTTTGATTTTAAATTATTTTTAATACATATGATAGTTTATCCCAGCATTGTTGAAATTATGTTTTTTTCTTTCTGGAAGCAAAAATTGTCAAAATATTTTTAAAATGTACAATTTTTATTCCTAAAAATATTTTGAAAAATTTATTGTAACAAAATTATTGTAACAAATTTTTGATTGTGACTTCTTTTTTGGCATGTTATAATTTTATTCAAAAGAAGGAGGGGAGGGAAATATTATGCTTTGAGAATTTTTGAACCCTGCGCAGGGTTAGAACAAGAAACCGTTCAATAGTATGCTTCTTATATTTTTCTTTTGTTTATAAAAAAAAAATTCATCAAATGCATTAATGAGTGTCTATTATACATTGCAGCTGACCTGTGGTCATGTATTTCATCTTCACTGTTGCCGAGCAGTGCTGATCAAGAAATGGTCTGGTCCACGTATCACATTTCGCTTTTCCTTGTGTCCTATTTGTCAGGTTAGTGTTTATACATGGTGCGTAGTGTTTTTAAAAGTGTTAAAATGTGCTTATTTTCGATTTTCATCTTTTAAATGCCCTTAGATGTTTTTAAAAAGTGCTTAATTTTTCCCTTTTTGAAAAAAAGATTTTTTTTTTTACCATGTCGAATTTCGACATGTATTATGCAAAAACGTGCTTTTCACATTATTCTATTCAACATTTTCACAATCCATTTTGGTGTACCGTCGGTCCATAGCATATGAAAGCGCCAATTATTTTACAGGTTTGCTGAGCTGGGTTCGGTGCTATTATTGCACTCTCATGTTTAACTCTGCTGCATTTTCTAAGATATTCTCGATTTCAAGCTTCATTTTACACCTTGTGAAATCGAACCGAAAAATCTCTTGGTCATTTTATAGTGGCTAATATAACCAATAAAAGAGCTCTTTGTCAAAAACTAGTTATTTTATCATGATCATGTAAAGTCTTTGAAAATTATTTTGCATTTTGTTAATATATAAAGTGCTTAAAAGGTGCTAATTTTTTGTTGAAAGATTTGGCTGCGCACCCTGTTATAATAATGGAAGTTTGCAATTGTGTGATGCCAAAACATTGACGTCGTCAGCTAAAATTTATTGGGGGGGGGGACCATCTTATACCACCATTATATTTTTGTATATAAATATATATATGTATTTATATGTATTTATATGTAAAAATTATGAAAAGTAGTAATTTTTTTCTGCGTATGTGAAATATAAAAAAAAGATACTTTCATTACTTATATATTACACAGTTCTCAGTGAATTTTTTAAAGCAAGCATATTTCCATTAATTTTAAATTTCTCTAAAAATTTTGTTTAATTTTATTGAATATTTTTAAAGTTATAGCAAAAAAAAATTAAATTTCTTATAAAAATGTCAATATCTCTATAAATATTTAGTCTATTACAAAATTTTGTTCAATTATTGCATGTAATAACTAAAGTAATTGTTAGAAGTTAAAAACATGTTGCTATATTTTTTGGCATAGGACGTTTAAAAACACTATTTTCTATTTGTAACTTATTGATGGTACCTTTAACTTTTTAAAAAGCTTTAAACTTCATTGATAAGTATGAGAAATCACATGAGCTAAAGACTTTAAAAATTATAAATTGATTCTTTAAGTATTTCTTTAGAAATATGAAAAAAATTAAGAGTATATTTCAAATTAATTAAATTAAAGGTATATATTAGAATTAGTAATTAGAAGTATATATTAGAAGTAATTATTTTGTCCACCCCATGTGTATAACACAATAAGGATAAAAAAGAATGAAAGAAAAGACAGTTTAATGAAGAAAATAATAATAAGTTTTATTTACTCTGCAAATACATAGAACCCATAAAACAATTTAAAGATACAAAGCAGACATGGAAATAAAGAGAAGAAAAATTATTAATGAATAAAAAAATGTCCATGTCTTCATTCTATTTATTAATTCCTTTATTCACTTTCCTAATATTCATTTTTTTGTGCAAAATAACACGGCTATATGGTCTATTTTTCTATAAAAAAAATATATTGGATTATTAGTTAAAGGAATAGAAAAAATAGAAGTTTTATTATGTAAATCTCTTTTAAGATCAATTTTAACATATGCTTGTGAAATCTGGACCCCATCTTGTACGGATGAGGCTATGTTGGGTACCTCTGAGAGAAAGGGTCTTGAGAAGTATTTTTGGAGGAATTTTAAAAAAATGGTGTGTGGCTTAAAAGATCAAATCTTGAGCCTTATCACTCATATAATGAACCCGACATTATTAACTTTATGAAAAGACCAAGAATAAAATGGGCAGGCAAGGTTACCAGAATGGACAAAGACCGTACCACAAAAAGAGTTTTCAATGTCAGACCAATCGACACACAAAAAAGAGGCAAGCCGAATTCGAGATTCATACATGGCCTAGAAAAAGACCTTTTGGTCTTAAAAACTGAAAAACACCAGCAGGAAAAAGGTAAGCCTGGAATAAACTTAGGGCCAAGGCTCACCCTGGGCTGTCAAGCCATTGATGATGATGATTAGTTAAAGGAAGTTATAGTAATATTTCCCTAAGTTAAGAGTGTTTAAAAATTTTCTTCTCAGAAATATTTTTTAAATTTTTTAGGTTCTTGTGGACTACTCAACTTAGTGTTTCATTTGAGAGAGAGAATCAACGATTTTTTCCATCGTTAAAACAAATTTTTGGTTAAAATGTTCTCTGAATTAAAATAATCTGCTGAAATAAATTCTTAGCCATTTCATGCACATTCTGTCTAGGTTTTTTTTCTTTTTTTGAGAGGTACCTATTTTGTGAAAATTTAAAATCTTGTTAAAAAATCAAATGCAATCAAAAACAATGAAATGCAATAAACAATGAAAACCAAAAACATTGTAAAGTAAGAGAATATTTTCAAAAATTATCACTACAAATAAAAATTATTTATGACAGTTAATTTTGTAAGCATTTTTCCCCATATAAAAAATATAATTTTGTTATTGTAAAATTGTTGGCTTAAAATTGCATCCAATTTTAAAATTCCATAAAAATTATTGTCCATAGTTAAATTTCAACTTGAGTTTAATAAAAACATGCATTGAACAGTACTAGTACTAAAAGTTATTTTCATTATGAGAACATTTTTGACTAGGTCATACAGAAAAGAGTTTCACAGAGAAAAAAAAATTTCATAAAAAATAAGTCTGTTAGAATAAATAAATTTACAATAGTGTTGAAGATAATGTGGCGAATGTTTAGACTAATGTTCGAATTTCGACTTCCTGTAAAATTTATTGTAGAGAGAGCCTCATTGTTTCAATTTAAAAAACTCAGCGAAAAAATCTCGTTTTGATATGGCGTAAGCAACCAGTTAGGCTTACCACATTATACTATCTGACCAAACATGTGCTACCTCTTCGTGAAAGACAGCTGGCAAAAAAGCTATTCTTTTCCATAGATTGCAACGAGAATGGGGTTTGCATATGAACTTGATTTTGCAAAAGTATTTTGTGAAACTACAGGTTTTCCTAAAATTGAATTTGTGAAGGCACCGCTGAAAGGTAGTGAATTTATCCTGGACAGACCCTTGACATTTCACATATTATTTAGGTTTTAAACCTAAATTATTAGCCGTTTGCAACATAATGTCATAAAAGCGTTTAACATATAAAATCCAAACTACGTTACCTTTAATATTAACTGCTAAATTTTTAAAGATTTACAATTTAAATCTCTATCAATATAAAATTTAACCCTTGTTAGCTAATATTAGCAAGATCTTCAATTAAGAATTTCAGATTTATAAGTTTTAAATTTTTCAGCAAAAATCAGAAATAAATCAACTCCAATATCTTGATTTTTTTGCATTTTTTACTGTAATCCGTACACCACAGAGATTTAAAAAGAATTGCTGTGTTAGGAGTTCTGGAATTAGTTAGCACGATGCAGAGCTGTATAAATGTCGAAAGACTCCAATATTGATAAATATCTTTATCTTTTTCTTGATGCAAGACAAAGGTAAACAGAAAAAAAATACTTCTAAAGAAAAATTATTTCCTAACAAAAGCATTAAATACATATTTACGAAAAATTTAAACAACTCGATATATTTCGTCCCATAATTATTACTTTTGTATCTGGATAAAACAATTACAAACTAAATACAAAAGTACATAAAAATATTCTTTAGTTGTAAATAATACTCTAGGTATGCTGCTGAAACCTGAGGAGGCATTGTATTTTTTGGGGAGGGAAATATCTTTTATTTAAAATTTCAATTCTTACGACCGATTTCATTAAAATTTTGTATTTTATCAATACTACTTTCAGATTATTTTTTAAAAAATTGTACGTCTTACATTTCTAAATTTTTTGATTGTCGTCGAATAAAATAAAATAATGCAACAAATAACTATTTGAAATTATTTTGTTTGCAAAAATGAATAAAGGAACTTTGATTGTATGCAAAAAAAAATTTTGATTCCCTTCAAAATATGGGAAAATACCCAAAAAATAAACCCGCAGTGGACTGATCGTTAAGACACGGCTCCCAGCAGATTTTCGATTGTCGTCGAATAAAATAAAATAATGCAACAAATAACTATTTGAAATTATTTTGTTTTCAAAAATGAATAAAGGTACTTTGATTGTATGCAAAAAAAATTTTTGATTCCCTTCAAAATATGGGAAAATACCCAAAAAATAAACCCGCAGATCGTTAAGATACGGCTCCCAGCAGATCACCGAAATCGAGCATCACTGGTTGCGGTCAGTGTGCGGGTGGGTGACCACTTGGTTCAGTCTGCGTAGGGACCGAGGGTGTGCGGTATTGGTCCTCGTTAAACTGTGCTACTGTAAAGTGCTGGACTTCGCGTGCAGGTCGTGGGGCTACAGAAGCGGGGGTGCCATCTCCTCTTCAGAGAATCAAAATTGTGATGTCTTCGGATCATCCTCAGGGATGTTTCCCAGACCGTCACCAATAGCCCATTGTGCAGCTCTAGTGCGACGTAAATGAACAACAACAACCATATTGTGATTACCCCTTATATTTTGATGAATCCGTTTAATGCTGATTTGAGAGAAAGTGGCAGTAACAATTATATATTTTTTCTAAACGCTTATTTTGTTATTTTTCGATGCAGTTAGTTTTTTTTTTTCCCTTCGAGGTGTATTTCCTTTTTATAAATACAGGGTTGCCACTCCACAGGGAAAACCTGGAAAATACAGGGAATTCAAAAATCACTTGCAACAGGGAATTTTGTTTTCTATTTCAGCCTCTTTAAAAAGGGTGACCACTCAAAGTGCAACATATCCGGTGTTTAAGGATAATATTTCAGTTATACTAAACTATTTCGTTTACTATAGCATTATTAAGTATGTTTGACTGTTTCTTATTTCTTCAAGTTTTTTCTGCAATTCTAACTAGTATAGTTAGCCCATAAAAGAGCACAGTGTGTTTTTCCTTTTTATATATTGTGTAAAATATGTATATGGAATTTATTTTCCAGATTTGAGTGGCAACCGGGAAATATATGTACTTGTTTTAAATAATGAATATTTTATGTTATGAATTTATTTACGTAAAAAAAAACATATTAATTTTATTGGAAATAAAACAGAAATCTTCAAACCAAATATTCGAGAATAATGAATGAACTGTTGTTGTAGGTACCAATGGATCACAATGTTTTGAAGGACTTACTAGATCCGGCAAGGAGCCTCTTTGATGATGTCAAGAGAAAAGCACTCATGAGATTAGAATATGAAGGTCTCCATAAAGCAGAAGCTATCACAACACCTGGTGCTAGATTCTATAATGATCCTGCAAGTTTCGCTATGGACAGATATGCTTACTATGTCTGCTTCAAGTGCAAGAAGGTAATTTTGACAAGTTTCTTCTAGGGTGGAAAAAATATCAAAAATTTAAACAAAACAGTTCATAATTGCCATGTTCATGGTTGCCAACTCTACTGGATTTTGCCAGTTTCTCCTGGTTTAATTAAAATTCTCCTGGTTTTTGTACATTTTAGAAAACTCCATAAAATTGAGTAAGTTTCCTAAAAAAATTTCCTATTGAAATAGAATTTTTGTACAGATTGTTGCTTACTTGAATATTTAAATAAGTATTTCTGATACATAATGGAGCGGAACTCATTTATAAAATCTTGTTATAAAATGTTCAGTTTATTTTTATTCAGTACTCTTTAAATTTATTTAAAAAATCTTTTAACTATCTTTGATTAATTAAATGCCTATCATTTGTAAAATATATTTTGTAAAATCTGCTGGATTTTTTCCTATGTAAATTGTTTAAATAATTGAATTAATTTCTATCTTATTTAATATTATAAAAGGATTGAACATAGTTTGCTTTATAAATTATTAACTGAAAAAATAGTCCCTCTACAACAAAGTTTCCTAACATCAAATTTCTTCCTATAATGAAATTTTTAAATAGAATGTTAAATTAGAATGTTCTCTATATAACAAGGAATAGAATGTTCTCTTTATAACAACTAAGTTGCCTCCCAATAAAAAAAAATTTTACGCTTTCAATTTTTGGAAATTTTTTGATGTTTATTATTTTTATTTGTGCCATTTTAAAAGAAAGTTACATTTTATGCTTGGAATTTCTGTGTAACCAATTCGCTTTCCTGTTTCCAAATGCCTGTTTTTACCCCTCAAAACTTCTTGTGATATTTAACAACGTTTTTGCTTTGCCCTCGCTTTAATATTAATTTTAAACCCTAAAGTGTGCTCTTTTTTCTCAAAAAATAAATATTAAGGGAGGTTTTTATGAAACGTCCTGCATATTAATGGAGTCATTATCTTATTTGTTCATTTAATTATTGCAGGCATACTATGGTGGAGAAGCCAGATGTGATGCCGAAGCGGGTGCCGGGGATGATTATGATCCAACAGAGCTTGTCTGCGGAGGTTGTTCTGATGTCTCAAGAGCACAGGTCTGATTTTTTTCTTTAACTGCATTGCATTGTTTTTATTTCAGTTTATAGCCTACGTTGACCCATTTTTAGATTGATGCTTAATTCCATAGCCTTGTAATTTTAAACTCAATCCTGAAAGCAGGGTAACTCTTGGATTAAGTATTAAGACAAACTAGCCTTCACGGAATTCTTCTTGATGCAATCAGCTGGCATTGGTGTCACACGCAGCTACGAAAACCTGATGGCGATGGGATTCTGACCAATGATCCCTCTACCACTCTGGATATTTTGAAATGACCAGAAATTGCTGGGACTTGAACATGTGGCACCCACTTGGGAAGCATACACACTATCCCCCAATCCCTCATAGCTCATGTTGCGCTGTTTAAACAAATTTTGAGTAATATACTCAAATTTGAAGAGAGAATGAAACAGTGGAATGGATGATTAGAAAAAACATGCAGTTTTAAAGGGAATGTTATGTTGTTTCTAATCGTTCATTTAATTTTGTTTTAAAAATTTATTTATCACTGTTGCTTAGATATGAAACATTACTAGTCGTCTACTTATTTTTTATTCAAACTCAATACAGTATGTAAAGGTATTTGAGAAAATTTCAACTTGATGGAAGTATTCATTGTTTAAAAAAAGGAATTAGTCAAAAAGCAGGAAAGTTCTTTAAAAAAAATAATAATTATTTATTTCTAGATAAAATGTTAAAACACTCACATTAAAAACTAAGTTAAAAAATTATCATGGTTAGTTGAAAACATATTTGGGAATTTCGCATGCAGAGAATTTTTCTAGAATTACACTATTATATTCCCAGAAAAAATCCAGATATTTCAATAACTGTGATCCGGAAATCCCATCACATTTATGTATAAATATTCTTGCATATTTTAGTTAGAAATATTAGAACTAGAATTTATTCTTAGTATCTTTTTCATTTGTAAATAATTTTTCTGGTAGAATAATAAATGTGATTAGAGATTAAAAAGTAAACTGATACATAATTATTAATTTAAATTATGCTGCATATAATTTATTTAAAATTTCATGTTGTGAAAATATCAATGATTTGAATTTATAAAGACATAAATTTTTTGAAATGCGTTATTAATGATTTTACTCAAGAAATTTTCAAGATTTTGAGTTTGGCTCAAAATCACCCCTGTATTCCTCACAATCCCTCTTATTTAAAATAGAAGCTCTATTCATTTGTAAAATCAAGAATTGATATTGAATTTTGACGGGTCTCAATAAAGAAAGTGGCTTCCGTATTGATATATTGCCTTGTCTTAAAAATACTGTGTCTTAAAACAAACAATATTTGAAAATTGCAGAAGAATAATCATTTCTTTTTAGATGTGTCCCAAGCATGGTACTGACTTCCTGGAATATAAGTGTCGATACTGTTGTTCCGTTGCTGTATTCTTTTGTTTTGGCACTACTCACTTTTGCAATGCTTGCCATGATGATTTCCAACGAGTGACAAATATTCCTAAAACAGAACTTCCACATTGTCCTGCAGGTAATTTATTTGCTTGTCTTTTTTACTCAGATATTTTATGCGTAAATAGATGTCTTCTATTGTCTGAGACAAAAATTAAATTTTCCACATTAGGGTGACTAAACAAGGTTTCTTCTAACTATCTTATAAAATAGTAACTTTTAATCACTATTTTTAAGTCACTTACCTCACTTTTTATTTGCGTTTCACAATTTCCCCCTCTTTACAATTAAAAGAAAGATTTCCCTCCTTCATTCAGCCACCTACCTGAGCAAGTAAAGAAAGGTGATGAAAAATAGATACCTCTTGAAATGCAATGTATCGAGAGATAATTTCATCTTTTCTTATTTGCTGTGGAGAATGAAATTTTGTGAATGAATTCGATGTTCTTTTTCTATAGGGTTTTAAGATACATATAAAGCTCTCAATAGAATTAATTCAATTTTCCATCATAAAAAATTAATCACCGTAAAAATTAGGCACTCTTAAAGGTCTTATTTTTCTCCAAAAGAAGAAGCATAAATAAAATGTTCCTTTTTATATTATTTTTTCCCCTTTTAAAAAAAACCCATTTTTTTTAATAAGATATTATTATGTCATGCAAATTTTAGTAATATCTTTTTGATGTTTGAATATCCAATATTTTTTTTTTTAAATTATTTTTGGTGTCGGTTGTTATTTAGAAAAAAGCCCTTTCTTTGTGGCTTTTCAAATTGTGCTGTTTTTTATACATTATTCTGCTAGCACTCTTTGATGCGCTCAAATCACGGCAATTCCATCAAAAATCCATGTCGTTTATCAGCAGTTTTTCCATCCATTTCAACGAACAGCCAACAGTGTGTATACTTTATAGCTTTTCCCCTCAGAAACTAGTCAACGGCTATGAATGTTTGTAGTCTTAAGCCTGCAATTAATAGCTACATTCTCCCTCTGGTGTTCATGTGTGTAAATTTAGCCAAAAGAGAAAAATAATTAACCCAGTCTAAATAGCAGTTCCTTAAACCATTAAGAGGTCACTATACCAGGGGAAAAACTTTTCAACTCAAATTCTCTTTCACCACCATAAGTAATTTAAAGTATAAAAAAAGTAAGTTCAGACAAACGTAGAGTAAGGCCATGACATTAGAATTGAAAAGATATTTTCAAAATATTAAAATGAAAATAAATTATTAAAAGATAACTTGGGATCATGCAATGGAAAAGCTCTCTTCCAATAATTTGTTTACATTTTGATATTTTCAATTTTTTTCCAGCTTTCTCTAGTTTTGCCTGATCTCACTTTTTCTATACTCAAAATTTTTAATTAATTATTGAGGTAAAACAGAATTTGCAATAAAAAGTTTTCGCCGTCCTTTTAATATAATGCTTCTTAGTAAATAAAATCTTATTCAGGTTTATGTTTATTTTCGTTGTACAAACCTGACCTAACTGCAAATATGGAGAAATAATTTTTCTCACCCATTATCATTAATGTGAAGGCGAAAAATCGGTTCTGTTCAATAAAACAAGTGACATTGGGTAAGTATAGGGTATCTGCCCACCTGGAAAGTCATAAGAAATCATGGAAAGTCATGAATTTCGGCATTGAACAAAATTTGTCATGATTTTAACTATTTTTTAAAAAAAATCTTGGAAAGTCATGGATTTAAGTCATCGAAAAAATCTAATTTTTAAAATGGAATCTACCCCCCCCCCTCCTAATTTTGTGGTGTTCCAAGTATCTGAATTTGTAACAAAATCCTCACTCAGTCATATTTTATTAAAATATAAAATGTTTTTATGATGTTTTTTAAAAATTATGGTGTTCTTACAAAAAATGAAAGAAAAAACATTTCTAGAGCGAATAACTTCTGTGATTTCAGAATTTTTTTAATTTATTTATTTTATCAATTTAAAATCCTAGCTGAAGCAAGCCAGTCATCGGCGATTTTTTTTTTATTCCAATAAGGAATACTTCTTTCCCTTCCGATGAACAAGAAAAGTATCTTTAGAATATAATTCTGCAGAGAAGAGAGGAAGAAAAAATTTTTTGCTTTTGTATTTTTTTCAGCTATGTTGTAGCTTCAACTCTTTCTTTACGTCGTTTTTTAAATTTAAAATCTATAAATATGAAGATGCAGAGTATAACAGTTTTTGGTTATACCTATCATTTTAATGAATGTTATTATAATGCTTTTTTAAATTTATTGTTGTGTTTTTGTCAGAGAAAATGGTAACTTCGCTAAGTCATGAATTTGAAAAGCTTAAAATGTACCAGATACCCTGTAGGCAAGACTTGTACGAGATTTCATCTTGAAAAAGGTTCTTAAATAAAAAAAATTCCACCATCCTTTCATGTGTATTTTAAACGTAATAATCCCCCAAACATGTATTACTATTTTGTATATATTTAAAATCAATGTTTTATCGAAGAATTAATGGTAATCTTTTCTTCTTTTTTTTCCCCACTCAGGCCCTAAAGCTAAACAGCTTGAAGGTGAAGAATGTCCTCTTCATGTCAAGCATCCACCCACAGGTGAAGAGTTTGCTCTCGGATGCGGAGTCTGCCGCAATGCTCACACATTTTGAAAGAGATACTGGACGTGTATAATATGCTTTTCAAGTGCCACATTTTCCGGATGTACATTACAAATTTTGTATATAATCTGTAAATTATGATCCTTATAAGCTCATAATAAATTATTACGTAATATCAACTTTGCTGTTCTGTCTTTGCAACGCAACATTATTCCCTGTGGAAGAATTTTTTGGGGTGCTTTCCGCAACAAATCTTACTAATAACAAATATACATGTTACTAAATTTAAAGTAATGAAAACGTTCTATATTTACAAAGAAAAGCCTATTTGGATGTAATAAAATTGTATGTATTTCTTTTAAAATTAATATGTAATATTTTATAAGAGGTTAATTGAGGTTGTCTCACACTAATTATTTCCTTTTTTGCATTTCATAGATCATCACATAAAAAAATAATTAAAAATCGTAAAATCAGTGGAAGAAAACCAAAAATTTTATTTCTCAAAAAAGGTTAAAAAAAATCAAGTATTTCTTCCCCTCTGATGCACATGAGGTATCTCTTGAGTATAATTGTGGAGGAAAAAAAATCTTTCAAACATTTCTGCAGAAAAGAAATTTTTTGCTTCAATATTCTTTATTTTTAATTCTTCTCAAATAAGAATAAAAAAATTAAGAACATTTCTTTCCCTCTGATGCGCGAAAAAGGCTTCTTTTAAATATAATTTTGGAGAAGAAAAAAATTTTTGAAGCCCCGAAAACCAAATTTTTTTAGTTTTTAAAGGGAAATTCTTTCTGCAAGAACTCTGTAACGTTCTGCGACAACGTCGTCATGATTCTGCCATGGGGTCATTATTAAGAAAGTAATTATTAGATATCAATTTGAGGGGAATTTTTTTTTTTTTCAAAATGACAGCAATGAAAATTAGTTTCAGAAAAGATTGTTAAAACAATAAAAGTTGCGACTACACCACAACACACTGTTCAGCAAAATTTATTTTATTGACACAATAGAAAACATGATAAATAAACACTAATAATAATAGAAATATTTGCTCTTATTGATTTGCAAACCATAATGTGAATAATAAATTTGTGAAAATAACAATGTATAAATGCCTGTAAACTAAGAGTAACCTATTAACGCCCAAATTTTTACATTGCAATCATGTGACAAGTGCTATTGGTAAAAAGAGTGGTAATACATTAAATTAAGTGAGAAATTTTTTTTCAGCTTCCACCTAATTGTTAAACAAATTACAAAACAGTTCTTGATTATTTGAACTATTATATAATGGTAGATAGGGTAAACTAACTAGTAAAGGAACACTTAAGCTTAGCTTTTGTCTTTAAAAAAAAAATCATAATTTCAAAATTTGTAATTTCAGTTAAATGACAGTGCATATTTGTTATTAAAAGCAAATTATGATGACTTCCTATTGTTAGATAGTAAGTTACTGTTACCAATCAATCTCAAAAATAGAAAAAACTTTTCAAATCGTATTTTTAAAAGATATTTATTAAATGGGGTGTGCTCTTTCACTGTTTTGTTTACCATATATAAGTTTTGTTTCCCGTGACAAAAAAATTGATCGTGAAACCAGATTAAACTATTGTAAAAAAACTGTCCTTAAATGAGAACACTAGACGTTAACAAGTCCATTTTAGATATCACCAATATTTATAATCAACACATCAAACAAACAATGGTGCTATTGATGCAAAATTCACATTTGAAACTAAACGTTTTATAAACAGTTTTGAAGTATTGCCTTTATGAAGCTTTTTTCACTTGTTCTTAAATTAGGGTGTTTACAGAAGGTTCTCAGATCTAATAAAGTTTTTAATCATCGCTTACATTTATTAGTCATTTTACAAATCCAGAAGAGAACTTTTTACAGTTCACTAAAGTTATGTACAAGGTAACACTTAAATTACTGAACTGCACATGCCCTTGAAGTAGAGGGAGGAAATGAAATGTAGTTGACCTTGACGGTTTTGGTGCATGTGGCACATTATTCCGTCACGTTATTTAATTTACTAATTTCCCCCCCTTATTAGAGTAAGACCTATCATAGTACAGAATTTTTTCGGGCTTTCTGCGACAAACTTCCCTAGCATTAATATATTGCTTTAAAATACTTTTAATTATAACAATTACTAATTTAATGTAACAGAAACATTGTGTCGACATAAGAAAGTATAGAATAAAAACTTATAAAAATTCTCAATTGTCAAAGTAATATTTTTTTAATTCTAATACTATATGCGATATTCTCGCATTTTGTAGGTGGAAAAATGCACTAATTATGTCCTCTTTCGAATTTTAAATCATTACACAAATTAAAATTCGTAAATAAATTAAATGATAGTAAATTAAGATTCGTACATAAATTAAATATCGTAAAACCCGTGCAGTAATTTCCAAATTAAAGATCTAGAATCACGTGAATGGGACTCTTTTAAAAAAAAAAAAAAAAATGAGATACTCAAATAATTGTATGTAAGTTATGGAATTCTTTAAAGAAGGAAAAAATGAAAGAAAGAACATTTCTAGAGCGAACTATCTTATACACTTTCGCAATTTCTGATTTTTTTATTTTAGATTATTATTTTGAAATTCTAGCTGAAGCCAGTCACTACAGATTTATTTTTAAAATCTCAAATGAGAATAGAAAATCATGATTATTTCTTTCCTCTCTGATGCGCAAAAAAGACATCTTTAAAAAAAAAATTCAGCAGAAAAGAAAAAACATTTTTCGAGAAATTATGTAGAAAGGAAAACCAAAATGTTTACTTCCTAAATTAAAAATCTTTCTGCAAAAACTCTGTAACGTTCTGCGACAATGTCGACGCAATTCTGCCACGGGAATGATAGTAGCACATTAATTTGGAATTCCTTGTTGAATTTTGTAAATAAATTCAACTGCATGTTTTAAAATATTAAAGCAAGTCTGGAGATAATTGCATGTCACATAGTCAAATTTTTGAATTGCACAAACAATTTCGAGGAGGTTGTTGAATATTCTGGTCGACATGTGACGTCAAGAAATGATAAAAAAAAAAATTTATAAAATCATGCTTGAAGACTGACATTTGATTGTTTGGATGATGTCGGATATTACAAATAATGACAGAGAGTGGTTCAAATCCTTGCTGGCAGGATTCAAACCAAATTTGATTAGAACCATATTGTATTGGCCTGAGACTAGATTTGCACAAGGACAATATCATACTCGAAGTTTACAAATAATGAAAATAAAATATTTTAATTATAACATTTTAATTTTGATGACTCTTATAGAAATTATCAACATTAATTGAAAAAAAAAGTATTAGAAAAAATGCTTTACTAAATGTTAGAACCTTTTTCTCAAATGGATTTGCCCAATTTAGATTTGAGATAAATTTAATAATATAAATGTAGTTAATAAAGAAACTTATTAATAATTATAACATACAATTAATTGATAACATACAATACATACAATTATTTTTATATACAATAAGTTGATAACATACAATTATTTTTATCTATAATTTAATTACATTGGATGGAAATCTGTGGTTTTTAGTCAAATTTTGGAAGAGTTTATTTATTTATTTTGGATAAATAAATATTACTACACATTCTTTTAATTCTAGTCCCTTGATTAAAAATAGTATTTAAATAAATTGAATTTTAAATAAATCGAACTTGCTTGTATGGTGGCCTACCTTCCAGTCCCCGGTGATACGTGAAGCCTACCACAGTTTCGCTTCAAAAGCTCTCTCCTCTCATCTTCGCAATATACCTTTACGGGCCAACTGCGACAGCCCTAATTGGCCTATAAAAATTCTCTTCTGCAGCCTTGTTTGGACCATAGACGCCTACTTAGGGTCCGAGTTTGAAAATTACACCTTGATATTAAAAGGAGCTAGGGGATCTTGAAATTTGAACCTTTCTCGAGCCATTTTATTTTTTTAATTTTTTTTTATTATTCCATTACGCTTTCTTTGCTGGACTTCACACACAGAAAACACCCAATGCATGCTGGAATATCCAAAATGTTACAAAACAAGTCGAAAAAGAGCAAATAAGATAATTTTCCTCGATTTTTCCAGTTTTTTCCCAATTAAAAAAATAATTTCCTACAATGCAGGACCCTCCAGAATATCGAAAAACACATAAAAAAATATAATATAATTTAAAATAAACAACAACAAAAAAAGAAAATTTTTTGAAAGTTTGTCCGTCCCAGGGATTCGAACCCAGGACCCCTCCCTCCTGCAGCGAACTTGCTTGTCTGGTGGCCTACCTTCCAGGCCACGGTGATACGTGAAGCCTACCACAGTTTCGCTTCTAAAGCTCTCTCCTCTCATCTTCGCAATATACCTTAAGGGCCCCACTGAGACCCCCCTAATTGGCCTATAAAAATTCTCTTCAGCAGCCTTGATCGGACCATAGACTCCTACCTAGAGTCCGAGTTTGAAAATTATATCTTGATATAAAAAGGAGCTAGGGGTCTTGAAATTTGAACCTTTCTCGAGCCATTTTATTTTTTTATTCTTTTTTTTATTATATCTTTACGCTCTCTTTGCTGAACTTCGCACACAGAAAACACCCCATGCATGCTAGAATATCCAAAATGTTACAATAGAAGTCAAAAAAGAGCAAATAAATTGATTTTCCTGGATTTTTCCAGTTTTTTCCCATTTTCCCAATAAAAACTTTTTTTCCTACATGCAGGAACCTCCAGAATATCGAAAAGCACATTAAAAAAATAATGTAATTTAAAAACAAAATTAAAAAAAAGAACATTTTTTGAAAATTTGACCGTCCCTGGGATTCGAACCCAGGACCCCTCCCTCCTGCAGCGAACTTGCTTGTCTGGTGGCCTACCTTCCAGTCCACGGTGATACGTGAAGCCTACCACAGTTTCGCTTCAAAAGCTCTCTCCTCTCATCTTCGCAATATACCTTTAGGGACCCACTGTGACCCCCCTAATTGGCCTATAAAAATTATCTTCAGCAGCCTTGTTTGGACCATAGACCCCTACTTAGGGTCCGAGTTTGAAAATTATACCTTGATATTAAAGGGAGCTAGGGGGTCATGAAATTTGAACCTTTCTCGAACCATTTTATTTTTTTATTTTTTTTTTTTATTATTCCATTACGCTTTCTTTGCTGGACTTCACACA